CTGAACCGGGCAGCAGAGAAGGAACAGGGCTTGGCACCTTCCTTTTGATTTGTGGCTTTCCCTGCAGCGCTTGTTTTACTTCGTGTTTAAGACTGGCTTTGCTTCCCACCGTGGTAGGTTTTTTGGCTTGGGGTTTTTTATGCTGTTGTGCAATGGTGTGTTTTAGCAACGAATAGCACCTGCAACAGATTTGGGCAGACTTAGTGGAGGAGAATTAAGTCGACTTATGTGGGGTAAATATTCTTGAAGATAATGTGTTGCCTTCGTCTAATCCCTCTCCCCAGAAGGCAATCTGTGCGTGGTATCACACAGGGCTTGCTTTGCCATCCAGCTCGTGCAGAGGAGCTGGAGCTGAAGCCTCCTTCGGTCACCGTGTGCACGTGGCTGAGGGGCTGCCAAAACCTGGGGTATTGTTTCGAGCTGGATGCAAGGCCTCCCTTTTTGGGAAGATTTCTAAGAATAGATGGCTATATGTGCTGTTAGGATCGAAGCATCTCGGAGATGAGCTCGCTGTGGATTTAGCAGTGGTGGCAGAGGACATTGTTTCTTCAAGCAACCCGTGCGCTTCTGGCAGCGGTTGCGTGCTCCCCCAGCCAGCGAGCTGCTGAGGAAGGTGGAAGGGAAGGTGCCTCTGACCGCCAGGTTAACGTGGGGCAAGGGGAAATGGGCAGACAGCTCTGCTGCTGCCCTGACATCAGGGGACACAGCCCCGGGCAGAGCAGCAGCCTCGCAGGTAAGCATCCCGAGCTGAAACAACCAAATTTTGGTTTGTCAGAGCTTTAACAGTGTTCCTTCTCTCTAAGTGACGTAAGTTAACACAAGGGAGAACCCACATTGTCGTGCTCTGCCAGCAGGCACCTACTGCAGGTATTGCTTTGCTGTGGAGGTGGGATGGACTTGGCATCTCTCGAGACTGGCTTAGGTGGTGATTAACTCCACCACGTGGGCGCTCGAACCGAAATGCCGTAGTGCCCTTCACACAAGAGGCTGCAGGGACTTGCTGGTGCTTGGAGAAGATGCATTTAAGAGGCAGGGAGGAGCATCAGCCAAGAGCCCTTTGGCTGTTGACAGGGTTTATTTTTGAGGTGGTGTCAGTAGGATCTGGAAACAGCACTTTTGAGTGTGGGCTGGGCAGCATCTCTTAAGCCTTTGGGATAGTCTAGACCCACTTCTGCGCAAAGCTGCTCTGCTAAACCCAAACAAAACCCAGAAGAGACTGGCATGCAGTACTTGGCACAGGAGAGGATATAGTGGCCCTTGATGCTGGGGTGTACTTGATGCTGTGCTGCCTGTTCATCATGGTACAAATGTTTGTCTGGACAAGTGTGTTCCTTCAGTGCTGGAGGAGAGTGCTTGCATGAATACCAAGGGGATGCTAGCAGTGGTCAGTGGGAAATCCCTCTGAACCTGTTGGTTTTCAAGCAAGATGCAATCAGTAGGTTTCAGAGTTATCAGTGAGGTATTCTGCTGGTACCTGTGGGCTTTCACTCCCTGCAGGCCAAGGCAGACATCAGTACTCCCTAGGTTTGAGCTGCAGTTAGGTCTGATGCTCACACATCGTCTCAGGTGAAGCCGCAGGTCTGTGCAACACCCACAGTGCCCGGGAAGCCGGGCTGCCTTGCTCCGGCAGCCGCTGGACGCACGCAGAGTGTGCGCCAGGAGAGAGGAAGGGGAGCGGAGCTGTGGTATCACCAGCCCTCATAAAGGGAAGATGTGATGAGCTGCTAGACCCAAGCAGCGTAATATGTCGTCCCGTTAGGCGTACGCGGCTGCGGTACCTCCTTTGCGAGCAGAAATGCTCTTCCTCGGACTGCTGGTGCAGGACAGGCCTCCATCGTGGAGCCACGTGTCGACATGCTGATGTGTGCAAGCGGTGAATAAAATTGCTCTCGGCTAACGTGTTCTTCTTTTTTTTCTTTTGCAGGAACGCCAAGGCCGTGTCAAGTAAAAGGCCATTCCTCCCACAGAGACTGCAGCAGAGATTGCATCCCAGCTATCTTTCAGAGAAAGAAAGAAAGAGCAAAAATATCCCTGAGAGAATTAGGACTTTTTTTTTCTTAATTTCATTGACTTCAAAAAGACTCTTACAAACTTGCAGTTTAAAAAAGAAAAGTATTGGAATTTCACAAGACATAGGACTTAAAAAAACAAAAACAACAAAAAAAAAAAATCCCTTCTAGGTAGACTATAGGTAAAAACTGTCCCCTTTCTTTTGGCTTTGGTTGTGATTTCAGAGCATACGCTTTGTTTTTTGTCTTTTTACTATATTTTTTCGGATTTTAAAGTCCGTAAGTGGCATATGCCTTTTTTTCTCTAATTTTTAAACCCCGCTGCTTCCCTTTCTCCCCCCCCTCGCGCCTCCTTCCCCTGGTTTTGACATTTGCACTTGGAACACCGAGTTGTAACATCCACCATGGAAGGTGGAGTAACTTTTTTTTTTTTCTCCCCCCTCCTGACCTGGAAGAGGAGGAATTCTAAGAGGAAGTTGAGGTTTTGGCCTAAGAAGAATTGAACAGAAATTGTCCACGAGGTTGTGTCTTAAAGGTGGTTCATTTTTCTCTGACCCTTTGTTACTCAAAAGTCAAGTACTAGGAGTCCTAAGAAATGTTCTGTTCTTGTGCATTATACAGATTTACAGATTAAGTCCAGATTAATTTGATTTTGAAAGCTGAGAACAGTGATAAAAACTTGTTTTGTTTACAGGAAAATGAATTTTGGACAAAAAAAAAAATATTGTAAAAATGTGTAGTGAATATGTTTCTTCAGTTTCTTGTTAAGCCAATGAGGAATGGGCATTGCCTTTCTTTTCACCATTAATCACTTCTCAATAATAAACGTGAGATCCTGTTGAGCATCACTGTTGTCTGCCGCTCCCTTTTCAGCGCTGCCCGCTCCACGGCGTAGCAAGAACCTGCCCCTCCTTGTTTCTCCTCCATGCAGCAACCCCGGGCTTCGCTGCTGTGTTTAATACCTTAAAATGATGAGTGAGGTGTGGTTTCTCCGTGGGCTTGAAGCAGGGTGCTGTGACCTCTCTCCGGGCATCCCGAGCGTGGTCCTGGCGCAGTCCCGGTGTTTCTTCCCAGCATGTTGGGACCATTTTTGCTCCTGGATGTGGGAAGAGCCCCCGCCTGCCCCCAGCCAGCCTTTCCCAGGGTGAGAGGGGCAGCACCCGGCTGGCCTCACTGTTCAGGACTCATTCCTATTGCACAGGTAAATTGGGGATTATCCAGCTCCTTCCAGGTGTGCGAAATGCAGACACCCACTTGCATCCCAGATGATCTCCTCTGGGAAAACTGCTCCAGGTCAAGAAATGAAAAATCCAGGTTTTCTTGTTTTGGCAGTTCAGAGGGAATGAAAGAGCCCCAAACGAATCTCCTGAGCCAGTAACAGTGCTTTAATTGTCAATACTTAATGGGTCATCATCAAGGAAAATTGTGCTATATTGAAAATATCTCAATTATTAAATCGCAGTCGGGGAAACGCCTGGAACCGAGCCAGCTGCTGACTCTGCTCTTCTCACCTTGGGCAGAAAATGAGCCTGGTGAGCCTCGCCTTCCCATCGTGCAGGACGGCAAGGACTCGCGTGCGCTCACCAAAAAGTCTGCTGATTTTTTGGGGGGTTTGCTTTGGACTAGTTCTTGCTTCTGAAAAGCAAACAAAAGCCAGCTCCAAACAGTCCGGTTGGTGTTGGGTGAGGACCTGGGCTGCTTCCTGGGGAGGTGGGTGTTTCTGCAGGTGTCGGAAGCAGTCGTGTGGCTGTTCATGTTTTGTTGGGATATTTTACTTGTTTCTCTGGAAGAATTTCTGTCGTCTTCATTCTTTGATGGCTTTGGCCTCTGTCTGCCTCTGAGCTGGCTGAAAGCACAAATTCCTTGCTGGTGTCCCCGTGCATTTTCAGAGCAAAACCTGCGTTGTTTGCAAAGCCAGAGGAAATAAGGGCAGAAAGCTTGACTTTATTAAAGGCCCAAATTAAACAATTTGTCTTTTGAGAGAATCTTAATTGTGAGTTTAAAAATAAAAAAGCCAGAGGGTTTTCATGCCATGCCTGGTGGGTGTTTGCATGCTGAGTTTCTCTGCTTGTTCCCCCTTATGAGTCATCAAGCAACGACCTGAGAGAGATGGGAGAGGAACAGGAAGATGCGATTTGAAAACCACAAGACCAGATGCAGGTGTAGTACCTGCAATTATTTTTACGTAAGAAAAAAAACTGTATTTGCAGGTTGTATCCGTGCCCTCTAACCTGGGATGGCCCCATGCTGGTGTCTCATGCTGCTGTTTAATTTTCCCCTCGTGTTTAGCTGCAGGAGAACTAAAAACATTCATTTTTCTTTTTTTTTTTTTTTTCCCTCCCCTCTTTTAAGGCAAAGCAGGTGAATTCCTGGGAGGTCGCACTCCTGGTGTCTGTGTTCCTGTAGGATTTATTCTGCAGCGCCTTCAACCCAGGGAAACGAGCTGCCCCCGGGGCAGGAGTCCAGCGTGCCCAGGGACCTGGAACAGCCCCGTTTCACCCCAAACTGGAGAGGGGAAAGAAAAATAGGTAGTTTTGTACCATCACTGGCTGGTTGTACTCCTCCTTTGCTGTTTGGGAGACCTGGTGAGCTTCCAGAGGGGAATGGAAAGGCTTACACCAAAACAGGGCCTGATGTTAAATATTAGGAGGGTTTTTTTTAAAGGAAGAGGCCAAGTGAACAACCTGGAGAGCAGAAATAGTCCGGGGAAAGAATGGGTAGCTTGGATGTGGGGGAAAAAAAAAGTGGATATTTGATGTGTGACTTGGAGGTAGCTGCTTCTGCTGACCCCCCCCGAGGATGCTCGGAAGGCAGAACTAGGAGAGAACAGTTTCAGTCTGGACCTGGTCTTGTTTTGGTCTAAACTGGGACAACAATGGGAACTTTCTAGTGCAGCTGAGGAGGCTTCGCTTTCAGCCAGCATGTCTGTGCATGGCAGACTTCAGGGTACGGGCAAAGAAAACCCCAACCCTTCTGTAATTATAACTGAATGGCGTCTCCCTGTGAGCATGGTAAGAACAAAAAGGTATTTATTGCTATTTCTTGGTGGGGAAGGGGCGGGGGGGAATATTTGCAGAGTTCCTTGGGCTGTGTGGGGAAAGGGAAAACCCTCTGGTTTTACCTGTTGATGCGCTGCTCTCCCCGGCTCAGCTGGGGGTGAATCCCCCCTGCCCAAATGCCCTCACTAGCAGGGGGAAGGGGCTGGGGTGCTTTGGGGCGAGGTGGCTGGGAAGCAGAGGACGGCCGGGAGCCAGGGGCTGAAAGAAAAGCCCCTTCGCTGCCCCCGTTTCTGAAGTCGTATAAACCTGAACTTGGCCTTTGCACCACCGTGGAGAGGCT